TCTTCACGATGTGTGTATGTCATGCTTTTCTGTTCTGTTTCCTTTCTCAAGCTCTTACAGGAATTAAATTTGTAATTTAGAGCATTTTAATTTTTGTTAATCCTATCTGGACACTTGTGTAACATCAAAAGCACAGTTGCTTTAGAGTGTTCAGAAAACTAAAATAAACTTTTCAGACAAAAATGTTCTAATTGTGAAAATAGATGAGTTTGCAGTTGAAAATGTTTGAAAAGGCAATACTTCTGAATGCCAGTTTCTGTATACAATATTAGTGTGGTTTTCAAATATCAAAACCCCATGCTTTAAATTCAGAATTTGCTTACAACTGTATTGTACAATACAGCTCCAAAGTGGATGACCAGCCCAAAAAGATTCTTCTTGGCTGAATTGTTTGTGGAGAAATCTGTTTTGTGATCCACCTAGTGTACTGAGAAAAGTGGGGGTAAGCGTGGACTGAAATAAATGAGCAAATAAAGGTTAAGTCTTTCTAAGATGACTGTTAATTATGCACTGTATTTAGCTAGAAAAATCCTGAATGTGTTTGTGACAGATTTGAGAGCCAGTTGGCTTGATGATTTTTATTTTTTTTTTTCAGGCATCTGCCACATAGGGATGTTTTCATCAGCGTGGCTGTCTGAAATAGAGCACCTGCCATGGAGAAGGCAACTTCCTGAATTTAAAAAATGAGCACAGTATTTGTATTGATTAGCACTGTATTGTCTCTATATAAAAAGCACTGATCGTGCAGTAGCCACAATGAGAAACAACCATGCTTTGGCAGGGTTATGTTGGAGGTTGGGAGAACCAGACTGATAGGTAATAGTGAGAAGCAATTCGGCCTGCTGTACATGGCTTCTGAAAAGTATTTGAGATTTCAGCTCTGATTTCCCTGGCCAGTCTTAACCAGTCTGTCAGAAAATAATTAAGTTTTGCTTCAAATGAATGGTTGGTGTCTGTAGCTGAACACTGCTGTTTAACAAAAGATAATTTTCTTTTTTAAAGTACAGGCTGATTTTAAGTTGAACTTACAAACTGGGTTAACAGTTTTCCTTTTTTCCAAAACATGGAGACTTAGAGCAAAGAAAGGGTTTTGTACTAGTTCTTGCTAGTGCATACAGGTGTGGGAAGCCCTCTTTTCATCCATGTTCTTCTAAATCTGAAGTGAAGCCATTATCTCCACACAATAAACACATTAATTACTCCGCCGAGATACAAGTTTTTTAAAGGGAATATTTTGATAATGGGTCTGTTTCTCTATTTAGAGCACTGCTATGTGATTAGTCTATCAGAAATGTCACTAAACGGTTTGTGAATTTCATTTAATCATTTTTTAATGCCACAGAGTGGTGAGCTGCCTACTTGCTTTCTCTATCCTCTGGCATTATTAGCTTTTGCATATCCAGATAGGACTGTATAGCTTTTTGAAGTGACATTGAAAAGATACTTACTGCACAGGCATTGCTTTTGTTTCTGCAAGCACACTCCTCTGGAGAAGTACCGTGTTCAAATAATAGACATTTTTATATTTCTACCCTAACACGTGAGTAAGTTGGGGGTTTGCTCTGTTTCCCCCCTTCCCTTTGGTTTCTGAAGGAGTGCAAAATGTGACCAGTTTTCAATAGCTTGTCTTCATGGTTGCTGTTTGGGGCAAGGCTATTTGCCCCTCCCCTGAAGCTGTTGTTATAGCTTGAACCATCTTGCTTAATAGAATTTGGAAGCTCTGCTTAGATGATGTAGTCCTTCCTCTTTTATGGAAGAAATATAGATCTTACAGCCAACACTCCTCTTTCCATGGTTGTTTCTTAGGATTTCTGGTTCTTGAATTCCGCCTTTTGGTAAGTCTTCAGCTGGCCGCTCAGTGCTTCTCTTCCCACTTCTGGTACAGAGGCCAGAGAACTGAATAAATAGTTGTGTAGCAATAGCCAATCTTGATCAAGTGTTTTAGATAAATACAATTGTAAATCTTTTCAGTTGAGGCAGAGTGAATATAGAAAGCATCTCTGGTACTTCATGTATGAAAAGTGGTGAACGCTGGATTGGAGATAATGGAGACTGCAAATAAACATTTTATTATGCACTCTGATATCTGAATGTTTTGAAGCAACAGTGTCTGTTAATTCCTCTCCAGAATTACATTCCAAAGTATGTAAAAGGCACACGATTAAATTGTTTTCTGTGTGCTAGTCTAGGTGTGTTTCTTTAACAAGCTTCTGGTTAAAAAAACTAAAAACCAAATACCTTTTACACTTTTGATGCTAAAATGGGTAAAATTGATAGCACGTTCTTATCACTGTCATTACTGCAAAGGTAACACACATGAAACATTTTGCTCTGGTTTCAGCATCACCACCATCTAGCCAAATTTGCCCAATGAAGTATATATACACAGCTTCACTGAAGACCGCGAAATTACATAACTGACTGCATCAGCTATTTCTCTACTGGAATGTGTCTGAAAAGCATAAGCTCAGGAAAAAAACAAATCTCCAGTCTGTGGACAAGTGAACTTGAATAGTTGAAGCTAGAGTTGAGGGGTCCTCTTATCTTGAATTGATTCTTAGCTCTGCAGCTTGTGGTTCATTTTGAGTTGGAGCTGTAGGTTGGAGAAGGATTCAATTTTTGGATCCCTTGGATCTTTTCTACCTAATGTACTAATGCAATGGCTATTAGCACTGCGGTTCTCTAAAGCAGTCTTACCAGGGTTAGCACTGAAGTCACAAAAGCCATGGCTATTGTTGGACTTCTGCTAGAACAAAGCCACACTTAAAAATTTTGAAGCAGCACATATATGGCTTCCATTCTTCAGGAGCATCTTTTCTCAAAAAAAAAAAGTTTTGGTGCCATTTGTTTTGCAAAGCCTTGTGAAGGAACACTTCCATTTTGCTAAATAGCTTCAGTGAGAAACTCTGAGGAGGCATCTGCGAGCAAGTTCTGCAAGTAATTCCTCACACTGCTCTCAGTTTTATCCAGGAGGTGCTTTTTCAGTTGTGGAAGGGGCTGTTACAGTATTTAATTTTATAACTAGTTATGTGGTTCTGAAATTTTACTTCAGTTTTTTGGCTGTGGCATGGGGAGGGGGGGCGGGGGAGATGGGAGAACCCATGAAGCTGGAAGGCTTTGTGCAGTTCCAGTAAATTCAAGTAGTTCTTGGAGAGAATCACTTTAAAGGTTAGAAACTCAATTGGGAAAAGGATAAGAAAAAGTTGGTTTATCTGGTGGACTAACCTATTTCAAATGCAGGCCTCTGGAGACAAGTTTGCTGTTACTGTATTGTTGCCCTGAGCCCCATACCAGTTATGGTCTTTTTGTTTTCATCTGTGTATTCAATATGGTGCAAGGCTTTTGCAGTAAACTAAAGATTCATCTGTCATGAGCAAGAGAGGTGATGTTGCTACCAGCATTTTTGTCTTGTTGATAGGTTAACTTTCTCACCAGTTCCTAGTAACACAATACAGAACAATATGTTGAATGTCTCTGGGGGTTCTACCGTGCTGAGGCTTCCTTACTTATGAAAACCAAGCCCATAGGAGCTTCCCTCACATTCAAGGAAGATGATCTCCTTCAGGCATTCCAAAACATAACTATACAAGTTCATACTTATCCTTCAATTGGCATCACATGACTACAGCATTCCAGAAGATCCATACATTTTTAGAATTGGGAGTTTTACGTGCAAGAAACAAAATACCTTTTTTTACAGAACTGTTATTTTAGGGTTTTTGCTTCTAATATTGTGAGACATGCTTACCTGTATGATGTTAGTGGTTAACCTTGATAGATTCCAGTTCACCAAAGCACAGACCTAAGCCCTGTAAACTTGAAATGCTATGCTGGGTCTGGACCAAAAAGTCCAGTCTAGTATTTTCATCTAATAAGCTGACAAACCTAGAAAAACATGCTGCAGTTAGGCAACACACTGAATTATTTTTTTTTCTGAACACTGTGTGTTGCAAGCTTTTACTTGGTTTCTAAAAAGTTTTGAGAGCTATAGTAACTAACTCTTTCTGAGAAACTTCCAAACAGGGCTGAGAACATCATGTGACACTGAACTCAAGGAAGTTTTTGTGACTGTTCGTTCTTATTTCCCAAAGATTTGTCTTGGGAATTTGCAAGTTGTGTGATGTATTAGACCACTAGACAAGGCATGGTGGTTTTCTGGGCTACTAGAGTTTTAATGCTTGCTTTGAGTTCATTTAATGCTATTTTTAAACTGAAACACTAGTCTTCCTTTGGTCATATCACTCTACTGGACTGAGAAAAATGAATTATGTTATTAGCTTAGGGTGAGACTTTTCTTGCTTTGCTACAGAGGAGTAGCTACAAGGATGGGGAACAAGGATTTGTCCTCGTTTCCCTTCTAATGTCTGGCCAGAAGTTGACAGGTGAATTGGTAAGCATTGCCTACTGTTTGTTTTAGAGGCATGTGGTAGTTTTAGAGAGACAGACACCTGTTTGTCTGCAAGAACTGGAGAGTTCACAGTGTTGAAGAGATGCTATTGGGTTACTTAAGTTCTGCATTTGGACTCTGCAGAAACATTTTTAGTGATTGGAATTGCTTAGCTGAAAGTTGATTTTTGCAGAGAATTTTTTTTTTTTCTGTTTAACTTGTTGCCAGAAAGTGATCAAATACCCACCTTTGTCTGAATCTGAAATGTACCACTTTTATGTATAGCAAAATAAATAATGAAAAAGGAAATCACTAAACTGTTTTTAACGATCTAAAGAGTGACATTGAAGATGAACCTGTTTTAAAGAATAGCTTGCCTAACGAAAGGAAATATCTACATCTTCTGTGCTATAGTCAGGTGTGTGGTTTGAAGACGTTACTACAGATAAATCTATGTATAGAAATCCTGTGCAGAAACTGTAATTGGGAAACATCTCTAAGGCAATGCTCTGTGAAGCAGCATCTCTGCTTTTTTGAGAGATTCATTAAAGTCTACCCACTGCTGTGAAACAGCCTAAACTCAGGTAGCATATGCTACCAGCCTCTGTAAAGGATGCCTGAGGGTGAACAGGTAAATGCAACTATCCTATCTTCATCTCACAGCAGAGGCTTGGAGAAATGTTTTTACTTTCCCAGGTCCATTCCTTTGGGGAAAGAGGAAAAAAAAAAAAAGGCAGCTTTTTTCCTATGGCAAAAAAAAATACTTTGGAAAGACCAGTGGATCCACCTGTCAGAATTTTGAACTGACAGATCCCATGCCCTCCTGCTTAACCTTGCAGCAGAGATCACCAAACCCATCAGCTTTGCTCAATGCTTTCCAAGAACAACTGACTCCTGTATGAACCCTGAAAATGGATTTTAAGAGAAGTAATGGAACATGAGTTTGACATGCCTCAGCTTGGGAACCAGTGGTCAAGCCAAAATTCATACTTCCAGATAAGACACATTTCTCTCCCTGCCTCCCACAGCTTGTCCCTGACTACAGCTCAGAAACACCCCAGAAGTAGCTTGTTTTTCCTCACACAGTTCAAGGATTGCAGTAATGATGGGAAAAATGTTTGATGCTTTTTTTAGATGGGATGACTTAAAATCCTGTCTGCTGCTACTTTGTTGAACAAAAATGAATTTTCTAACCATGGGTTACTTGCTTCTATCTTCCCAAAGTGTCACTGCTTGTGTATAAAAGGGCTGTGTTGTTTGATGTATGTTGGATTGTTAATGCGCAGGTGAATGTGCCTGTGGCTGCAGTGAGCATTCTCTACAGCAGGTTTCAGAGCCCCTGGAACATATTTAAGCACAAGTGTTAACATCTTTAATGATTACTTTTGGGTAGTGAATAATTTAAATTTACAAGAGGTATTTCCTAGGAAGTAATGCAATAAACTTGATAAAAAAAGAATGACTCACTCCCAGCCTACTGCAGGAGCAAATAAAATGAGTGATGTAAGGAAGAGAGAGCAGGGGTCAATATCTATTTTATCACCTGGATTTGTCAATGACAGTGGTCAAGCTGAAGAAGAAGGGATTCCCTAAGGGGGGGTCAACTCCAGGAGTGATAAGGGGAGTTAAGAGCAATAGGCTGCTAGATAAAACCAGATGAAGAAAATGGGCAAGAGGAGGTGGGGAAAGTGAGCAGGCTTCATCAGGGCGGGAAGCCTGTAATGATATCAACAGAGTAAATGAGACTTTGATAGAGTGTCATGAAGCAAAGGGATGATGATGGCTCTGCAGAGCACCCAGTGGTGTCTATAGGAAGTGATGTGTGGCACATCGGGTTACACCTGCAGCAGGGGTTGTTTTGTACCAAAAAAGGAAGCGATGAAATAAGTTTAAGCAGAAATGAGGGGTACTGGAAATGCAGGAGGGAGAGGAAAGAGAATGCTTTGATTTCAGAAGGTTGTGCTCCAGCTCTCCAGGGCTCCATCTGCCCCTTGTAGTGGTGATGTACATGGAGGAAGAATTATCTTGGCATGTTTGGGGAGCTAAGACCAGGAAAGGAAATCTCTGCTTGTAAACCTGGAGACAGCTGAGGAGTCAGCAGTGGGACAGGCTCCAAGAGAGTGGTGCCTCAGTTATTTTGTTAGAGGATTTGATGGACACAAGTGTTGACAAGAGGGAAGAAGCAGATCTTGCGGAAGAACTAACAAACTTGTATGTGTGAGTTTTGGCCTTGGGACATGTTGTGTGCAGAGATACTACATCAGCATTAAGTAGATTCCACGTAGCTTTGCTCATAGATGCTGTCCAGAAAGAGCTGTGTGCACTCTTGCTCAGCAAGGCTTGAAAAGATGGTGGATTTTGTTTGCATGTGTTGGGCAGGAGGGGATTCTGCAAAAGAAAAGGCTGCCTTTGACAGCAATGGTTATAGATTGTTTTCAGATAGTTAACTGTTGGTATCATGAGTTGCACTGTCAGTATGAAACTTCACTGTTTTAACAGCTCAGATGAAAAAGAGACTTTCACAGGGCTTTTTATATTCCTTATTTGCACTGATGTGGCACCTGCCTATCAAGATGACATGAACCGATCAAAACACCAGGTAGCAGTCATTAATCTGTTGGATCTAGTCACCTTACTAACTTTATTCTGATGGGTGTTAGTCTACATTCCTCTTCAAAAACCTACAGTGATGGAAACTCCCTTGGTTTTTCATGGCAAATCTGCTTCCCTGTTTTACTGCTAGAAAGCTTGCCTGAAACCTAAGCCTTCAATGGTCCAGCTCATGCTTGTTCTTCCTTTACATATTTGAAGAGGGCTATTGTCTTTTCCTCTGTCCACCATGCTGGTCTTGACTCAGGTCTTCCGGAGTTATACCTAAAGCCCCTGGTAATCTTATGCTAAGATGGTGAGAGCAAGATGCTTCTATGCCCTTGAGGCCTCAAGTGCTAGACTGGTTTCTAAAATTACTATTCCTTTCATTGTTTTCTGTTCAGGACATTCCATCAGTGGATGGGTTAGCTGCACTTCAAACCTTCACAAGTTTGGTACTCACTTAGGCCTCCTGTTCAAGGTGCCTGTATCCTCCAGGCTTGCCCTCAACAGGTGGATTTGGTGTTACAGCCCCAGTTTGGTGACCATCAGAAGGGTGGAGAGTTTGGAATGATCATCCTCAGGGAAAGCAATGACCAGGCAGCTGTTTTGCTATCCAGCATTAGCAGTAAGTCCTAGTGACAACCTTGACTTGTCCATTGTGATGTGGTTTTGTTATTCCTGTTTTCACCTCATTTTGCCAAGATTGGTACAGCAAAGGGGTATTTCACTCTTCCAGTGAAAATCTGAGACCTTTCCCTTGCATGTTTTCTCTTCCTACCCTGTGAGTGACGGCACCTGGAAGTCTGGTACTTTCCCTCATGAGTGACCCAGATTCCCCCACCTGCTGATCCCAGTCCTTCAGGTTTCTCCTCTGATCTTCTGGGACCTGCTTGGAAGCACGAAGTAAAAGAAACACAGTGTGTCTTCTGCTCGCTATCGCCAGAACCACTGATGTTAAAGGCTGAATGCAGGTCTTGGGCATTAGCATGGACCAGCTGCAGTGTTTGGGCCACAGAAATAAATGGCCAGTTTGCTCCATCTCTCATCCCAGTTCAAAAGACAACAAGAAAGATTCTGAGGTGTTGGTGGATACTTGACTGCCATTGCCTTGATTATAGCCCCCAGAAAATGCAGATTAGACAGAAAAACCCTGGTGTTAGAAGTTTTCCTTGGGGTATTTCTCATGCTGAGGGTGGGGTTGCATCCATCATGCACAAAAACATACAATTTTTTTGAGTGCCCTTACTGTAACATCTTGTACCTTGCTGGTAGTTGTTTACATGACACTGGTTTTTTATCTTTCTTGACCTCTCCCCCTAGGTAGCTATGTGGGCCATGTCTCCTCAGTGCTGTGTTACAGAAGATCGGTGGAGAACATGATGTTTGGGCTGGAAAGTGGGTAACTCGTGCCAGCATCCCCTTCCTGCAGGAAGGAGTCTCCTCCATGCTCTCCAGCCAGCTGCTTGTCTTTACCCAATGGGCTTTTCACCAGCTGCAGAAAACTCTAGCACATTTGATCAGCAGAGCTTTTGACCATGGTCTTCATGCCAGGATTTGATGCAGCCTTTTTGGCCTCCCTGAAGGTTTAGAGAGAATATTAACTTCCTGACTTTTATCTTTTCTGGGAAACCAATATTAAATGGGGGGAGGAGGGGAGGGGCAGGAACAGTCTGCAGTAGCCTGCTGTTGAGGTTTAAACATGGCCGGCAGCCAAGCACTATGGAGCCGCTCACGCATCCCCCCCCCACCCCCAGGGGGTGTGGGAAGAGAACAGAAGGGGTAAAAGGTAAGGAGACCTGTAGGCTGAGATAAAAACAGTTTAATAATTGAAATAAACTAGACTAATGATAATAGTAATAATAATAGAAAATAAAAATGGGTAATGCACCATGTGATTGCTCACCACCTGCCGAGTGATGCCCAGCCTGTTCCTGGTTAGCAATCCCAGAGAAAAGAAGATTTCAAAAACTGCAATCCTGGAAGCAAGAGCCCCTGTTTCCCAGTTAACCCTCATTTATGTACTGAACATGATGTTACATGTTACGGAATATTTCATTGGCCAATTTGGTTCTGGTGCTCTGGCTGTGCTACCTCTCAGCTTCTTGTACATCTGCACACTAGCAGGACAGAGGAAGTTGAAAAGTCCTTGATTTCTTAGCAACTGAAAACATCAGTGTACTATTAACATTCTTTTCATACCAAATCCCATACTGAATCTGAAACACAGCACTGTTCTAGATACTAAGAAGAAAAATTAGCTTTGGGAGGTTTCTGGTTGCCCCCCAGCCCTGCGGTTACCTGCAGGCTGCAGCCCCGGTAGGAGGCTACGCTTGGGTTGTTTTGGTTGGGTTTTTTTGTTTGTTGGGGTTTTTTTTAAATAATCCCCCCGTCTCTCCATCTCTGCGCTCACCCACCTGTTATCCGCCCCTCCCACGCGAGATCTCTGCAAAGCCAGACGAATGCCCAGCGGTGCTTTAAATTTTAGTGTCGGGGTCCCGCCTCCCCCCAACATAAGCTTTTTCTGTGCATTTTTGCAGCCGGATGGCAGCTGTTTCGACATGTCCCGGGGTCTGTCCGGCCGGGAGCGGCGGTGCGTACCGGGAGGCAGGAGCAGCCGGTGCCCGCGGCGGTCAGCGCTGGCGCAGGGGCTCTCCTGGGGAGACCGCTCTGGGCACCAACCGAGGGGTCCGGAGTATCCAGATGCTTTCTGGCTGCCTGTGTGCAAGTTACCGCGGTCTCTCCAGAAAGCCTCCAGCTGCTCCTTCCATCCCTTTTTCAGAGTTTGTCGTTCCCGTATTAGACTACACTCGGTCGTTTCTGAGCTCGCTGTAACCCTTCTTAACCGCTTGATTTCTCCAGTACTTTCTGTCATCCCTGATATTTTAACTCGAAGGGAATATGAACTTAGATTTTCTCTTCGGAAAACTGAGTGGTACTCGACGTGACTGTTAGCTCCTTTCGGTTCCAGCTATCAGCAAATATTGCGGTCTTGCGAATTGCTTCTCTCCTGGGAAATTGTCGATCGATACCTTGTTAGGCTTGTTCCATTTACAGATAACTTTGTGCAAAGTCCTGTTTTCTTAATACTGAAGGAATCGAAAAAAATGAAGGAGTTTCTTTGTGTGTGGTGTTCTTGGTCTTTCTCTGAGCTGTTCCTCAGTGTCCCTTGGTGATAGCTTCCCTTGTTATCAACTCTCCCCTGACTGCTTTTAGGGCACTTGTAGTGGTATCTGCTCACATAGGCGAGCTCTGCCAAGGCAATGTCTGTCAGAGCCCTCTGTCTTGTACAGCAAGTTGTTTAACTGGCCTTGTATGTGGGCTGTGAGTGGTGGATTTTATTCCAAATTCAACTCAGTCCTCTCCACAGAGTATTTTTTGCACAAAACATTCCCTTGATCAGTGAATCATTTGTGATTTGATAACTGGTTTGGTGGGATTTTAAAAGTTCTCTTTAATCAGTATTCGCCCAGCCCACCCAAACATGCTTTACTGTATTTGAGTCTACTTCTAAACGGTAATGAATTAGTCTTTCTTTCTTTTAAGTGAAACTAGTTGTTAGTGATACAGCTGTGGTTCAGACCTGAAGAGCAGCAGGTACAGTGCTTTGGCCTTCACGTCTGAAAATGTATTATCCTTGCTTTTTCCTCAAAAGTACAGCATCATCTCCAGTGTGCCTCTCTTCACTTGGGACTGTTGGTATGACTGTCAGCCCAAGTATGTGGAGGATGAGCAATGCTCCTTTAAGGACCCCATAGAGAAAATTTACTTTAATTGACATACCTACATCAGACAGGGAACCTGTGGCAGAAAAGGGGAAAAAAAAAAAAATTCCCCAAACTGCCATTTGCTGTAAGACCCTTTCTTTCTCCTGCAGTCCACCCATCTTCCAGGCTCTCTACCTCTCACTTCTGCACATACACAGAGAAGAGCCTGGACTGCCAACAGTAGCCTCCCTTTGTTGTACATCCTCACCTCCTCTCCTAGTGGGCAGAAAAACCTTACCGGTGTTATTCCTCTCAATTCAATTCAGTCAGGATCAATCGCAGAAATGATCTTTGTGTTCTGACTTCTCAGTGTTTGCCTCTAATACTTTTTCAGTGTCTTCTTTCCAATAGAAGGGAAGGAGTGGAGAGAATCTCTGGAGGTCACACAGTCTTTTTCAGGAACCCAGGACCAGGCTGGTGTTTCTGACAGTGCTGGCACACACCTGTCTCTGGGAGGCTGTCAGACAGCCTAGCCCAGCATGGCTTTGGCCTTCCTGTTGTCTGATCTGAGGCTCCAGTAGTGCAGTTTAAGTCTGTCTTTCTCACCCAGTCTGTGTGGGTGTGGAGGACAGGACGGTGCCTTCTGCTTTGCTGTAGCCTTTTTCACTGGTGAGCACTGTTACTAGCTTCCTCAAGTTTTGGTCGTATTTTCTGTAGAAGCTAGAGACCGAGGCTCTTTCAGTCTGTCCTGGCTGGCTGTGCTTCCAGGCGCTCTGATCCAGTTTCTCTTCATGTGGACTGTATCAACCTAAAGTGCAGAGCACCTAGGGAACAAGGCAGTCGCTATATACCATGTACCTATCCCTGTGCACTGATGGCTCCAGTTTTTAAAGTCAACTCCACAACAAAGCAAGCAGGACTTGTACCACATGGACCCATATTAGACCCTGCCTCTCCTACTCCACCTGCCTTGCATTCACAGCCTTCTTCCTTTTCCAGTACTAGACCATCAACACATCTAGGCAGGTGTTCACTGCTGCAGACGCCATCCCAAAGGGTTAGTTCAGCTAAGATTAATGAGTGGAGAGATCTGTTTCTGCAAGCAAGATGAGGTGAAGACGCCTATAACGGACTTGCCTCTCCAGGATGGGCTATGTCAGGGCAGTTGCCTAATGCCTGTGTAGGAAGTCTGTCATGCTCTGTTTCTGATGTGCTCTAGCAGTGACAAGTTGTCTCAACTTCCTTGGGCCTGAGTTCCTCCACTGGTGGGACAGTGTCAGTATTTGTCTAGAAGAATGTCTGGCGAGAGGGCAGTGATTGCAGACCTACTGTGAAAAGCTCAGGTGCCTGATATGTTTTGTGAGGAAAAGTTTTTGATGGTCTGTGGAAACTGAGCTGCACTGTGTGACTTGTGGTGATGTTTCCATTGGTGCTGTAGGCACAGGCTCCTATGGTCTTGTGGCTGCTATTGTATGCGGGCTCTTAGCCCATTGTGAAGACAAACTGCTGATCCACTTACATGTTTTCTAAAGCTGTTAAAACTATAGTGCTTTACTTCTTTTTTGCTGCAGGCTAATGGCTGTGACCCAGAGGCCGCGATGGATTTAGATCTGGCAGGTTACAAAGTGAAAGCTTGCCAGTTCCTCACCCCTGCAGCTCATACCCTGAGGTTGAGTGCAGACTGTTGATGGTTGATCTGCTAGACTGGGAGTGAAAAGCCTGGCACACACTCCTCTCTGTTGCATTAGCTAAGGGTGTAATAATCTCCAGCAGCAAGGCAGGAGGGACAGCACAGGGCAGCAACCTCCTAAATCAGTGCAACTACAGAGCTACTGGTATAAACACGTGCCCAGTTACCAGGGCTCAGCTGATGGGCCATAACCCCTCTGTTGCTCAACCTCTTAACTCCAGCCGTTCAGGTTTTTCTTTTCCTAATCTGTGGCTGCTTTCGTGCCTTTTTGATACGGTAGAAAAACGGGGCAAAATGCCTGAATGGCTGATAAAGGAGCAGGGCTGCACTGTCAGTTTGAGTTGCCAGGGGAGGTGACAGTGCTGACTCTGCTGAGTGGGTTTTGCTGAGTCTTGCAGCAGGTCACTGGAGCTATTCAAAGGAAAGAGTGCAAAGGTTCTTACCCAGATGGAAAAAATGTAAGCCTGACATGTGCTTTGGATAGATCTGCTGCTCAGAGGGTCCAGCTAAGGATACCTAGGCCAGGGTGTAGATCTGAGTGAGGCTACCTGACAGACAGGCAGCAGGAGGAACTATGGATGCCTGGTAAACAAAACAAGCACATCGTTCTGGGGCTCCTCAGTCAAACTGGAACCAAAGGAATTAAATAGGCTGTAATTTGTTCTGTTAGTTATTTTGGTGCAAGCTTATATGAACTTTAATTTGAGGTGAAGAGCAGAATCTCTGAGGTTCAAAGTGACCTCTGGAGATGGTATAATCTAACTTAATTCAGCAAGGCGAGGTGGGGGACATAAATAGGAAGGAGAGCTGGGCACTGAATAACTTGTCCCCTGGATGTTTACAGGCTCAATGACCCCTTCTCTCCAGCAGCAAGCCTGTGATGAGGCTCTTTTCCACCTGCCAAATCAGCAGGTGAGGAGAAAAAGCTGTGGTTTAGTTTCAGCATCTTGGTTCCTGGATACAGTGCTTCCTGCCTTTGTGAGCAGGAGGTGCAGCGTCTA